TATGTATAGTTAGTCTTTATATATACAAGTGTCACGGCAAATGAAAATGTGTATGAAGGTGGATGCAAATGAATGGTTTGATGGTGTAGCAGATGGAAATGTAGTGGCAAGATAAGATTTTTAGTGTTAAATAGTGCAATGTCGAGGCAATGGAAGATGGTAAATAAACAGTAAATAAACAACAAATAAAATGAAAAGAAGATAATTCTCACGTGATAAGCTTCCAATGGAATGAATGATAGGGATTGATTTAAGGATGCTAAACTTATTCCTCATGTATATTTAAGCTATCTAATCTTTACTTGCTCGACAAGGCTTTCCTAAAGTGTTCTCAAAGGAACCTAACAGAATAGGATGACAAGGCATCTGCTCTCACTCAACGATGTTGGCCAGCCTACCCTATTGATAAAGACACCCTTTTTAGTCGTTGAAATCCTATCCTAGTCTATCTTGAGATCTAAGGGATTAGGTTATAATATTCCTAGGCATGTTCAAAGCCCCTTGAAAACACTATAACCCATTGCTTATGAGGATATTGTCTTGCGGTTCTCTCGAATACTTACAAGTATTTTTAGCTTAGGTTTCTCCCGAATACCTAAACTTCATCTAAGAAATAGACATTTCCATGCCTCTTACAAGCCTAGATGGTGAAGCATTCCTAAGCAAAGCAAATAAAGAACCAAAATAAACTTAAATATACCATTAAAATAAAGTCTAAACATCCATTAAACCAACCACCACCAAATAAGTTAGTTCATGGTGGGGTTCGAAATATCTAAACACAAAGTCGTGTAAATATTCGTTCCAATAACCCAAAAATAAAAATAAAAATATTAGTAAAAAGGGAAGTGAGAAGTAGCCTTCGACGCGCCACCGGAGGTCTCCTTAGCCACCACGAATCACCTTAGCTCACTAGCTCCTCTCGGCACCTAGCTCGCCACTCCCTGGAGCTTAATCAATGAAGGAAAACCCCAGAGAAGAAGAAAATGAAAAGGAAATAAAAATTTGATTTTTTTCTGCTCTATACGTTTGCCTCTTCACGTGTTCCTTCCTCTCTCCCATGAGGTGTAATATATAATAAAAATATCTAGGGGTAATGATGAGGCTGTTGGGTGAAAAATACCCCTCATACCCCTAGAATCACATGTAGTGCGTGAACCTTATCCTCCAGGTGGCAGTGGTCCTATAGCAGCTCTGGTAGGCGGTTATATCAATCATTTCACGTGCAGAGCTAGCTGTCCTCATACAACTGTATCTTTTCAATCTTCTTCAGCAACGTGTGATGCCGCGACATTACGTCCCATCTAGTCCTTTTTGCTTACTATTCCCTGCACGCCACAGACAAACTGCACATTTCCTTCAAGCAGTATCATTAAGAAATAAAATAGCACTACCACCACAGATGCAACTATATGCAACTACATGATCCTAAAATGCCTAGAATGAGCTTTTAAACAAACAATAACTTAAGTGAAAAAGGCCTTAAAAGTAACCTTTTTAGGAAGTTAACACATCCCCAAACTTAAGCTATTGCTTGTCCTCAAGCAATGGATAGCAATTACATAAGAAAAATGTCATGGCAATGTTTGACATTAATACAGTAGGACAAAATTGGATTTCAACCCTCAGTAAAATACGCTTCAACATGCTAGACTTATTAAGAATTCAAGTACTTTTCCCTAGGTCAAGATCCTTTGTTGTAATGTGTGTGCGTGATTGTATCCAATCTATACTTAGCAAACTTAGACAATTTCTACTCAAGTCCCCTAGTTTTTGTCAAGGCATTTACTTATTCATTAAGCACATTTTCTTTACTCCCTTTCTTTTCTTATTTTTTTTACTGCTGTTACGAAGGGAGTCAGCTCATCACACCTACTCTCCCACACTCTAGGTGAAATGGATCATACCTTCCACCCCCGAGCTAGTTAAGTAGAGTCATCCCGTGACTTCTTTCATTCACTCATATGCACATGGCTGCCATTTATTAAAGAGAGTTTCAGGCAATGCAACGGCAAACAGGAGTGTCCCTCTACAGCTATGCCTAAGCATTTATTCACAGTTTCATATATACGGGAGTTATTTTTTATTTTTCTTTTAAGCACAATACCATATTTCAATGCCAAAACTAACTAGAGTTCCTTCATAAGAATTTTCCAAATTTTCTAAGTATAGAGAACATACAAATCGTGTAAAAACAATTTCACAAAACACCAAGCCCTAGAGTGAGTTCTATCATTCTTAACAGTCATTTATATTCAGATTCTATCCTAACAAGATCATCATCAGGTATCCTCAAAACATTTTATCTAACTATCCTACCATTTACTGATGCCATGGCATAATACTACGCTAATGATATCATGCATATGTCCTAGCAAGAACACCACCTCCCCCAAACTTAAGAGAAGCATTGTCATCAATGCTTAAAGAGAACTAAACTAAATATAAACTAAATGCCATGCAATGAAATGCAAACTAAATGAAAATGAATGCAAGTGAGGTACCTCAATGTTTACGTAGTGGTGTTGCCTTGGAGGTGCTAGCAGCTCCTCGCCTAGTGCGCTTGCGAAGGGGTGTTGGGCTGGACTCTGAAGAAGTAGAGTAATAATGTGCAATATTCTTACGTCCAGCCGTGGTCTTGGTACGTCGACCACTACGTGGTGTAGGAACGGGACTGGGTGTTTCTTCGACAAGGACAGTGGACGGATATTCATGGGTGTCAGAACGGTGCTGATCAAGAGTCGGGTCATAAAATGGAGGATCTTCTTCATTTTGTTCGGGCTCTGGAGATGCCTCGGCATTGAATGCTGACAGAATTTCGTCTGGGAAGCCAGGGAAATTCCGTTGACCATGGGGAATAATTTATTGAAACATCGATTCTACCACAGCATCTCTATGCTTCACATACCCAAAGAAATTGTGGATGTCACAGTGTAAAGCATGCAGGTGAGTCTGAGTCTGCATCACAGCTTCCTCGAGAGCAAGCAATCTTGCCTCGGCATTGGATTGTGTAGTTCCTGTAGATTGCTCATGAACAGGGTCTTTAGACTTGGGATTTTCAATTTCTAATAGCAGTGGAAGTCTAACCCTAGTAATGCCTGATAATCCAGGTAAAATTTCTTCAAAAGCATTTTCCTCGACCTTTTTCTTACGACACAAAGCAATAATTAAGTTAGGAAACACTAAATCACTTGCCTTTTTACTCAAGCAGTCATGAATTTGCTGAACAATAATACGACCAACATCAATATGACGGGATACAATTATTGAATATAAGAGCAGTAGGCGTGAAAGTGATATCATCGTAATGTGAGAAGTAGGCATGAGTTTGTGCTTAAGGAAGTGATTCCATAACTTAGCGTGCGGCTGAAGACGCTCTCTATTCACCGAGTATCGACTTCATCCTCGAACTAGGAATGTCGGTCCACCACATCCTGCAAATGATAATATCGATTAATCGCAGTGGGTGTAAAAAGAATTTGTTTACCTCGCACGAAAATGGTATGTTGGTTTGGCTTGGAAATATTTTCATAAAATTCCTAAACCAACGAGGCATTCACTGAACCCGGATGGCGTGCAAACTTCTTACACTTGAACGGCGTAACAATGTACATTACATCGGGTTCCAAGCCACCATCGATCTCCTCGGTAAAAATAAAACCTAACTCAAAGAAGAGTTTTCGGTTCTTGAAGTTTTTGAATCGAGCCTTAGCCTCCTCGTTCTCAAATTGTTGGAACTTGGAACCTTCAGGTGCAACCAGTCTTGTGCGCACCATTTTCAACAATTGTGAAGCAAGAAAAATGAAAAAGGAAGTATCTTTCAAAAGCTTTGTGAAGTTTCGGCTATGGAGATAAGAGTGAAGAAAATGAAGAATATGAGAGATAAAAAGTAAAAGTTAAAAATGAAATAGAAAAGTTAAGGAAGAAAGAGAAAAGAAAAAGTTAAGTTTAAGAGGGAAAAGGGTGATAGGACGGTTAAGAGAGAAATTAGTGGGTGGGGGTTATACGTGTATGAGGAAGGAAAACTGCCAAAAGAAATGATGATGATGGGACAAAACTGTTGGAGAGAGAAAAGAAATGTCAGAAATAAAATAAATTAAAAAGAAACAAAATCAAATAATATCTCTCCCATTAATGAGCTATCCTTTCCTCCATTTGGGTGACTGCTCCCTGCACAGTTTACATCAATGTGATCCGTACAAATCAGATCAAAAAATAATTACAAAATAAAATAAAATAAGAATAAAGAAAAGCCTAAATTTTAAATTCTATTTACGCACAGACACAAATTTAATACATTGGCATCGAATTTTGGTTCTCCTCTTAGTACGCTTCAGCATCGTGCAGACGTAACACTTCCTTGTTGTGCAGTGGTGGAACTCCATTATAGGCTTTCAAACACTAGCCATTAACCTTGAAGATCATCCCATTGTTCATTCTCTTGATGTCAACAGCTCCATGGGGGTAGACATAATGCACCTCAAATAGTCCTGACCATCAAGATTTGAGCTTCCCAGGAAAGAGTTTGAGTCTGGAGTTGTAAAGCAATACTCGTTGCCCCACATGAAAATGTCGTGGCATCAGTTTCTGGTCATGTCACTTCTTGGTTTTCTCCTTATATATCCGAGCATTCTCATGCGCTTGTGCTCTAAACTCTTTCATTTCATTAAGCTCCAGTAATCTTTGTTCCCCAGCTAGTTGAGCATCAAAATTCAGTCGCTTGATGGCCCAATACGCCTTATGTTCAAGCTTAACCATACACTAGCTTGAATGGTGACATTCCCAAAGGAGTTTTGAACGCTGTTCTGTACGCCCAAAGTGCTCCATCCAACTTTGGCGACCAATCCTTTCGCCTTGGGTTCACCACTTTCTCTAAAATCTGCTTGATCTCTCGATTGGATATCACTGCTTGGCCATTTGTCTGCAGATGATATGCCGTGGAAATCTTGTGTCAAACTCCATATCTCTTCAATGCCTTGGCAATCAACTTGTTGTCAAAGTGGGTTCATTCATCACTAATAATAGCATGAGGTAATCCAAAGCGAGTGAAAATATACTTGTGCAAAAACTTGAGTACGGTCTTGGAGTCATTCCTTGATGTCTCTATTGCTTCCACCCACTTTGACACATAATCCACAACAAGCAAAATATATAATTTTCCTTCATAATATGGGAATGGTCCCGTGAAATCGATGGCCCACACATCAAACAGCTCTATCTCCAAGATGTTTTGCAGTGGCATTTCATGATGTCTGAAGATGTTTCCAGTCTGTTGGCATCGATCACAAGCCTTGTAAAATGCTTGGGCATATTTAAACAGAGTTAGCCAGTAAAAGCCTGATTGTAGGACCTTAGCAACAGTCCTTGCTCCACAAAAATGGCCTCCATATGGGGCTGAATGACAATGGTACAAAATGTCACGCTGTTCTTCTTCGGGTACACATCGTCTAATGAGCTGATCGACACAATGCTTGAACAAATATGGCTCATCCCAAAAATAGTGCCTTGCATCGTGCTTGAATTTCTTTTTAGCCTGACTATCTAAATCAAAAGGCAGAATTCCACTAACAAGAAAATTAACAAGGTCAGCGTACCACGGAATTTCCATGGTATATAAAAGTTTCTCATCAGGAAATTCCTCTTGGATATATACAGTGTCATGGCATTCAGAATTGTTCTCTAGCCTAGATAAGTGATCAGCAACTTGGTTTTCAGTTCCTTTTCTATCTACCACCTTTAAGTCGAATTCTTGCAAAAGTAAAATCCATCTAATAAGTCTAGGCTTGGCATCTTTTTTGTTCACTAAGTATTTTATGGCCGAATGATCAGTGTGAACAATAACATTTGTGCCTATTAGGTAAGGTCTAAATTTATCAAAAGCAAATACCACGACAAGTAATTCTTTCTCAGTGGTGGTGGTGTAGTTCAATTGTGCTTCATTTAAAGTGTGGCTAGAATAATAAATAATATGAAAAATTTTACCTCGGTGTTGCCCCAAAATAGCTCCTACGGCATAATCGCTTGCATCACACATCAGCTCAAATGGTGATGTCCAATCGGGAGGAACTACAATGGGTGTCGAGATCAGTTGTCGTTTTAGATCAGTGAATGCACCGAGGCATAACTCGTCAAACACAAAGGGTTGACTTTGCCAAAGCAATGTGCACAAGGGTTTAGAAATCTTGGAGAAGTCTTTGATAAACCTTCAATAGAATCCAGCATGTCCAAGAAAACTTCTTATCCCCTTGACCGAAGTTGGTGGTGGCAACTTTTCAATCACTTCAATCTTCGTCTTGTACACCTCAATACTCTTATGAGAAATTTTTTGGCCTAATACAATGCCTTAAGTCACCATGAAGTGACATTTCTCCCAATTTAAGACTAACTCAGCCTCTTCGCATCTTTTGAGAACTTTTCCTAAATTGTCGAGGCATCGTTCAAAATCATCCCCTCAAACAGAAAAGTCATCCATGAAGATCTCCAGAAAATCCTCAACCAAGTCTGAAAATATAGTTTGCATACAGCGCTGAAATGTTGTCGGGGAATTACAGAGTCCAAAAGGCATCCTCCTAAAGGTAAAAGTGCCATAGGGACAAGTGAATGTAGTCTTTTCTTGGTCCTCTGGTGTGATGACAATTTGATTGTACCTCGAGTACCCATCCAAAAAGTAATAGAATGCTTTTGTCGGCCAATCGATCCAACATTTGATCGATGAAAGGTAGAGGAAAATGGTCCTTCTTCGTAGCTTTGTTGAGTTTTCTATAGTCCATGCATATCCTCCATCCAGTAATAGTGCGAGTGGGTAATAGCTTCTTATCCTCATTAGTAACCACAGTCGTGCCTCATTTCTGCGGAACACACTGAACAGGGATCACCCATGAGCTATTGGAGATAGGGTAAATCTCTCCAGCATCAAGCCATTTCAGAATTTATTTCATCACCACTTTCTTTATAACAGGGTTGAGTCTTCATTGTGGTTCAATTGAATTTCCGTGGCAATCTTCAAGCAGAATCTTGTGCATGCAGATCGTGGAACTAATGCCCTTCAAGTCGGCCATAGTCCAACCAATTACTTTCTTATGCTACATCAAAACACTTAAAAAACTTTGCTCTTGATTAACAGTAAGGTTAGCGGAAATAATCACCGGTAAAGTCTCATCGCTACCTAAGTAAACATATTTAAGATGCCCTATCAAAGTTTTAAGTTCTAAAGTAGATGCATGCAATAATGAAGTTTTAGGAGGAATAAATTTATTAAAATTTAGAGGTTCAAAATTCATACCTGATCTAACTTGTAGTAAGCTAGATTGCTCCTCCAAAATTGAAAAGTTGTCAGACTCCACTAAGCTTTCATCATCCACCCAATAATCATTTTCTGCTAGCTGAATGAAATTGTTCTGGCAAAGATGTTTAGTCTCTTCTTCAATCACTGAGTTCAATTCAGAAATGCCTTGGCATTCTTCAGTGTCATCAACATATTTGAGCGTTCGAAACACATTGATAGTCACACACTTATCAACCACTCTCATGGTGAGTTCACCTTTTTCACAATCGATTAATATACGTCCAGTGGCTAGGAAAGGTCTTCCTAGAATAATTGGTGCCTTGGCATCAACTTCGCAATCCAAAATTAAGAAGTCGACTGGAAACACAAACTTATCCACCCGTACTATAACATCCTCGACTTTCCCTTCAGGTTTAACATGGGATCTGTCGGCAAGTTGTAAAATAACCGAGGTGGGTATTTCATCTCCTATACCAAGCTTCAAGAATATCGATTTCAGCATTAAGTTGACACTTGAACCAAGATCACACAGTGCTTTTCCAACGAAATTAGCTCCAATCGAACAAGGAATTATGAAGTTGCCCGAATCATTTCGCTTTGGCGGTAACTTACTCAATGAAGAACAAAATTCTGTTTTCGTGGCAACAATCTCTACTTTCCTCTTCTTGGTACAGATTTCCTTCAAAAATTTGGCATACATCGGCATCTGTTCAATAGCTTCCAAGAGAGGTACATTGATATGGAGTTGATCAAGAATATCCATGAACTTCTTGAACTGAACTTCATCATTATGCTTCTTCAATCTTTGTGGGAAGGGTGGGGGAAGTCTATCTTCCTTAACTGCAGTAGTAGGAATTGATTTTTCCTTGGCATCAGAATCTGGTGCCTTAGTAGAATCCTCCTCCTTGTCCTTCTTAAAAATGCTATCATCATGTAATTCAGCTTCACCACTTTCAGTAGTGGGAGTGGATTCATCATGTTGTGCCCCACTAGTTTTAACTTGTTGATTGATTTGTGTTCCACTCCTAAGAGTTAACACATTGCAATGCTCTTTTCCATGTCCTTTAGTGACTTCAGTATCACTTGGCAAACGTCATTGCTGACGCTCCTACAATGTCGTAGCAATCTGACCAACTTGACCTTCCAAAGCTCTCAAGGACGAGCTATGGCTTTGAAATAAGGCGCCTTGACTATGAAGTAAAGCTCCTTGATTCTTAATTGAAGTAGAATGATCTTGCAGCATTGTCTTCGTAGTAGATATGAACTCTTGAATTATAGCTTCCAAGGAACTCATGCTTGCTGAAGTTGAAGCTCCTTTGTTGGAATTATGCCATGGCATAGAATTCTGGTAACCTTGAGGCTCATTGTGATTCTGCTCCCGAGTAGAGTGATTAGCATTATGGGCTCCTTTATTTCCCCATGAGAAATTGGGGTGCTGGCGACATCCAGCATTATAAGTGTTAGAGTAAGGATTGTTGCTGCCTCGATTGTAATTGCCTACAAAGTTGATGGACTCGTGATTGCTCGGGCATTCGCTTTCATGATGATTGCCTTGGCATAACAGACATGCCAAGCTAGTTGCTTTCACTTCTTTCACCTCAGTAGAGCGTTGTAAGTTTTTCAGCATATTGGTGATAGTTGAGAGTTGAGCGGACACCGAATCTTTAGTATCTAACTCAAATGCTCCAGGTGCTCTCCTCCCACTCCCAAATCTTGAGAAAGGAAACTAATAATCATTGTTAGCAATTCTGTCCAAAATAGCAAATGCCTCAGTAGGTGATTTATCCAGCAATGTCCCATTTGCCGAGGCATCCAGTAACATCCTCGTGGGTGCATTGACTCCATTATAGAACGTGACTACTTGAGTCCAATCGTGAAAACCATGATTTGAACAGTTTCAAAGAAAACTCTTATAACGATCCCAACACTCATACATGGATTCGTCGTCGCCCTGGTGAAAAGATGATATTTCATTCCTTAGCTGCGTATTCATGTTCGGTGGGTTGTACCTCAATAAGAAACTCTTGCAAAGATCGGCCCATGATTCCATCGAACCAGCTGGTACACCACTCAACCAAGCCCTTGCTCGGTCACGCAATGAATACGGGAACAACTTTAACTTCAGAAAATCCCCATGCACTCCTTCTTGGCGGAAATAATCACAAACTTCCAGAAAATTTCGAATGTGCTGCCTGGCATCTTCAGTTGGCATACCCCCAAACTTCCCAATAGAATTCAACATGTTGAACATGACTAGTTTCAGCTCAAAATGTGCAGCTTGAATTTTGGGTGCCACAATTCCAGGATTCAGATCATCCAGCATCGGATTTAAGTGATCACGAATAACGCGCGGCCTAACAGCAGGATTATCATTGTCTAATACCGCGGCATTCTGATTTCCGTCATCCTGACCAATGCCTTGGTTTCCAATATGATACATGTTTCCTCTAGCGCGTTGAGCACGTCACCTTTGTCTAAAGAGTCTTTCAATCTCAGGTTCTATTGGTTCCAAAGGCTCTTCAAAATTTCTTCTAGGCATACACTAAATAAACCTGAAAAATAAAGCAAAAAAAATAATATAAAGTAAACTATACAAAAATAAAAATACAAAACAAAATAAAATAAAATAAAATGCTCTAGCAAAACTAAATAACTTCAGGCTGCCAATCCCCGGCAACGACGCCAAAAACTTGTCCGCGTGTGTGAGTACTGTAAAATATACGCAGATAA